TAAATTTGGGAAATTTTGAAGATTTTCGTGTGATGGTCGATCATTTGATGAACACAGTAATTTGAAAAGCGCAGTAATATAATTATGACTTCCATGTGATAATATTTATTTACTTAAATATTTTAGTTAAATTTTTTATATTTTTTCTCTCAGACAAGACAATATTATTTTTTTTTTATTTTTAATTAATAATTGTTTTTATTATTATTATTTAGGTTAGTAGGTAGAGAAAAAAAAAGAAATTTCATTCAATATATCCAGAAATTTCTTTATGTTCTTCACTTGATCTTTGACAATTAGAAATTATCAATTTATCAGGCAATCAAAAAATCCAACAGGAAAAAACCAAAAAAATATATTAATAAAATAAATTGGCAATAAGAGCAGTTATCTTAAAAATGAAAAAAATGATGCTTTTAAATTCAAACTATCTTGATTTTGATATTTATTACTCGTATTAACTTTTATTAGCTACATTCACAAGAGCTAGAGCTCTACTAAGCTCTAGCATCTATCATTCACAAAAAATAGAGTGAGTAAAAATTTCCTTGAGTTTTGCGAGGAAATTTTTACTGCCAATCCCTGCAAAACAACAGTACAAATTATAAAGTTCGGTTAGTAAATTTTTCCTTATATAGAAAAAATATAGAAAAAAAAATTAATCACACTCACGAAATACAGCAACGATAGCCATGCCAAACTTACAAAGCGCTAACTAAAAAGTCGTTCTTTTTCAAGTATGCGTGACTACATGCTAGCAAATTCGGAATCGACTTTGAGAAGTTCGATTTAAACTGACTCCGTAAACCGGCTCTGGAAACTTTTTACAGCTGTTCTCATAATTTTGGACTAACAGATAAAAATCAAAAATCATTGGTCGAGTTCAATAACGATTATTTCTTTTTTATATTATGATATGCTATTGGAAAGAACAGACTTTATTATAGATGTTCGTAGATTCTCTTTATTATCTTTTCGAGCCCTCCGTGCTTTGGATACGTAAAATTGGGACTCTTAAATTCAGAAAAGATGTAAAATTGTAGTTTATCCGCCTATTAATGTAATATATATATAGTAAAATTGTCCGATTATGCACAACCACCTTTCTAAAGCATCTTCATAACTGATCTACATAGTTAGCGAAGATACAAAAGTGCACCGAATAATGTCAGTGTCAACAGATAAAGCAGTAACGATGATTTCATAAAGTATATGATTTAAAGATATATATAATATATGTATATTTGCTATTATAATCTAAATTTAAATAGTTTTAAAGAACTTTAAGAGCCTTCAGCGCAAGCGACAGGTACTGTATATACTAAAATAAGTCTTTACAGTTCTTAACAAGTATCGTTTATCTCTTTCTTTAAAAACGAACAATCTTGATGAAACTCCTTGATCTCGTGTCGATATTATCGTCAACCCGAATCTTCTAGTAAAGAATGTAGAATTTATTATATATATAGCGAACTCACTATACGGGGAGAAGCAGTGTTGGAAATTTTATGTAGAACATCATCTCAAATTGAGAGAGAACATTCTTGCTTAAAAAAATGTGACTGCCGTCAATAGAAATCAAGCAGATTGTCATTTTTTTAAAAAAATTTAATACCTTAACATTCACAGATCATAATATGATCGAGGTATTATCTCAATGAATTTTGGTGCTATCTTAATGATTTAGTCAAAAGAAAGCTTAAGATCTAAGCTTTCTTTTGACCATATCGGCAAATTTACGGAATTGGCCTAAATTAGGGACTATAAATTTTAGTGAAGCTGACCCGAAAATTTCAGCTATTTGCGCATCCTGCAATTGTTAAATCCAGGGACCCTAATTTGGATCCAGTTTCGCAAATCCGATATCGATATGCATTTAAGAGGGCTTCAAATTTCATCGAGATGAGTTGTGAAAGTTGTGAAAGTTAAGGTTTCTTTTTGAATGTCAATCTACTTGATTTCTAGACAACAGTCCAATTGTTCTCTTATATTTAATAATTTGTGAGAACATTTTTTAAAATTTGAGAACATTAAAATCAATATAGATTTCAATACTAGGGAAGTCAATAGAAACAGGCAAAATTTTTTAATTTAATTTATGTTGATTCAATTTTTTAATGCTGTAATGATAATCTTTTTTTTTTTTGCTATCGCTATCATTTTAGCCAATCATAATTAGGAACCATCAACATGGTGTGTGTAGAATCTACCCATCGAACTGTTTAAAAATCACGTTTTGTGTATTGTGTCGAAAATTAAATGATCAGGCACCTGTTTAATAGGAAAATTATTAACAGGTCCATTATTTTGAAATCTGTAATAAGAAAAGAAATCAGAAAAATGTCCTCGGTCAGCGAAGCTGTTGGAATTGAAAAACCTAAAGTGAGCCCTCAGGCTTCAAAGGATAAGAAGCAGAGCAAAAAAGCTCTTAAAGATGGGGCTTCTAATGAATTTCCTTTAGAGGTGACTATCACTTATAATTTACTATCTCACTTCTCGCCGAACGTTACTAACCTGGGTTTCTGATGACAGTTATCCCCTCCACCTGAATATTTGCAACATCGTATTAAATTATTTGAAGAATGGAAAACGACATATGACGAAGAAATCAAGAGTAAGGCAACATTTGCATCAAAAGCTTCTGATTTATACCGCGGATCAATTGTAATCCGTCTTAGAACACTTAGGTGACACATTCATTGCCCTCACTCAAATGCTCGTATAGAGAAGCCACGTGCTCCAATTACTGTGACTTTCCCGGACGGAAATAAAAAAGAAGCCACTGCTTGGGAGACTAGTCCTATGGACCTTGCTAAAGCGATATCTAAATCATTATCTGAACGTATTGTGATCGCCAAGGTTTGTTACTTTTTTTTTCACATTGGATTTTTTTAATGTTCGAAATAATTCGTTATTAATGTCTTTTTAATAGGTTAATGGTGAATTATTTGATTTGGTCCGACCACTTGAAACAGATTGTACTTTGGAATTTCTAGATTTTGAACATGAAGAAGGTAAATTTGCAATTGAAATTCGTCTCATAAATTATTTGTTTCAAAAATTAATATTATTTTAGGGAAAAAGGTATTTTGGCATTCGAGCGCGCATGTTCTTGGCGAAGCTTGTGAACGTCATTATGGATGTCATCTTTGCATCGGACCACCTTTAGATGACGGCTTTTACTATGAAATGGCTATTAAAGAACGGTAAATATATTATTATTTACCATTTTTATTTATGACTAATATTAATTTTACTAATTAATTATGATTTCAAGTGTTGTGACCCAAAATGATTATGAAACTCTTAAAACGATCGCAAAGAGTGCTATTAAGGAGAAACAACCCTTTGAACGATTGGTTGTTTCAAAAGAAAATTTATTGGAAATGTTTAAGGTATTTTTATTTATTATTTTAATCTATATTATAATTATAAATAATTAATAAATATTATTCACAATATTTTTGATTTTAGCATAACCAATATAAAGTTCATCTAATTAATTCAAAAATTCCGGATGGAACTTCCACCACTGTTTATCGTTGTGGTCCTTTGATAGATTTGTGTATGGGACCTCATGTCCCACACACTGGCAAGATTAAAGCATTTGAAATCACAAAGGTTAGTCATTTAAAAATCTATGTATTTAGAATAATGGATTGAATAAATAATGATTAATAGTTAAATATAAAATATTCTAGAATTCAGCGTCTTATTTCCTCGGTGATTCAAAAAATGATTCACTTCAACGTATCTATGGCATATCTTTTCCGGACACAAAACAAATGACTGAATATATGAAATTTGTTGAGGAAGCTGCAAGACGTCATCATAAAAAAATCGGACAGGTAGTGTATTATATCTGTATAAATTTTTTCTTGTCATTTATATAATATTAATGCATATTTCATCATAGGAACAAGAATTATTCTTTTTTGATGAACTCAGCCCTGGAAGTTGTTTCTTTCTTCCGAATGGTACTAGAATTTACAATACGCTCGTTGATTTTATCAAGGTTTGTTTCCTATTGAAAAGTTTTATTAATTACATTATGCAAATCAGTTGTTCATGAGAGTTAATGATTTGAAAAAAATACTCTTATATAGTCGGAATATCGAAAAAGGGGTTATCAAGAGGTGATTACACCAAATATGTACAATACAAAATTATGGGAACGATCAGGACATTTGCAAAATTACGAGGTTCGTATCTCATTAATGTTTTCATCTTTACATACAAATTCTAAATAAAATGTCTCCGTCACCAGGAAAATATGTTTTGCTTTGAAGTTGAAAAAGAAAAATTTGCGTTGAAACCAATGAACTGTCCAGGTCATTGTCTAATGTTCAAGCATAGAGACAGATCATATCGTGAATTACCTCTCCGTCTAGCTGATTTTGGTGTTTTACATCGAAATGAATTAAGTGGTGCTTTGACGGGACTAACACGTGTAAGGCGATTTCAACAAGATGATGCACATATTTTTTGTCGACCTGATCAGGTTAGTTTATTGGCATTTCGTTATTTTACTTTTTTTCATTGGAGTAATCAATTTTTGTCTGAATGATTAGATAGAAGATGAAATTAATGCTTCACTGGAATTCTTAAAACATGTTTATGGTGTTTTCGGGTTCACTTTCCAACTTAAATTGTCTACTAGACCTGAAAAGCACTTGGGTACTATCGAAGTTTGGAATCAGGCTGAAAAAGTGGGTATCAAATTATATCAAATTGGCCATATAAACTTAATAAATTGGTTCTCATAACCCGGCTGGATCAAATTCTACAAAATTTTGGAAAAAATTTTACTATTCGGATGAATTTTTTTAAAAATGCCTAAAAAAAAATTTATGATTTTTATATATAAATTTTTGAAAACAAAATTAATGCCATGTAATTTTAAAATTTTATGAGACCAAAAAATTAACTTCGTATGGCCTTATTGATCATATTTCATATTTTATATATTTATACATACAGTATTTTGGTAATTGATATATTATTTTATTTATAGAGGTTAGAAGAGGCACTTAATAAATTTGGCGAACCATGGGAACTTAACCCTGGTGATGGTGCCTTTTATGGTCCAAAGGTAATATTTAGTTAATTGGGTGATTGCTAAATATTTATGTCCATTCTTAACTTTTAAATTTAATTTGCAATCATATTCAAGATTGATATTACAGTATCGGATGCTATTAAAAGGAAACATCAATGTGCGACATTACAGCTTGACTTTCAACTTCCTGAACGTTTTGAACTTGAATATCATACCCAAATAGCTGGCGACTCTGAAGGATCATATGCCCGTCCAGTTATGATCCATCGTGCTATATTGGGTTCAGTAGAACGTATGATTGCCATTTTGGCTGAACATTTTGGTGGAAAATGGTGATTACCATTTTATGACTTACATTATAATTAGATATTCATTTTATTTGCTAAGGATTAACGTTCCTTTTCTTCTCTAAGGCCTTTCTGGTTATCTCCCCGCCAAGTGATGATCATTCCAGTAGCAAATACCTTCAGTGATTATGTCAAAATGGTTTATAATGCTTGTTTCGACGCTGGCCTATATGTTGAGAGCGATTTGGGTGAAAATACTTTGAATAAAAAGATTCGAAATGCTGAAATTTCTCAATTTAATTTTATTTTTGGTTAGTTCCATTAGAATTAATGTCAATAATATGTGTTTATACATAATCTAATTAAGTTTTTCATGAATTTCATTATTAGTTGTTGGTGCTGAAGAAGAATCCACCAAATCGGTTAATATTCGTAATAGAGATGATGTAGGTACCAAGGCAAAAGGACAAACTATTCCTCTAGAGGAAGCTGTTGGAAAACTTGTGAAGCTGAAAAATGAAAAACGTCTCCAAAATAGCTTGTTATAAAAAATGATTTTATTTTCTTTGTGTGGGTTAGAGAATTAGTATCATAATATATTATATATTTGTCCACCTATTTATATTTATATTATAATATAATATAAAGTGTAAGCATGTGGTTTAAATTTTTCTCACTCGTGTCATGCAGTCATCCATGCTTGCTCTCCTCATCTTTATATGAGTCTTTGTGCTTGGTTGTTTTAATTTATTATCAGTAATAATTACTGTTATGCTTTCTTGTAATTGCATATTGATCGTATGCGCACGTGATTGTACATCATTGTGCCACCACATTTAGATAAAATATAAACGCGTCATGGTCGTGACCGTGATACGAGAATTAAAGTAAATTTACTCTTTTAAGTGTTAAAAAACGTTACTATGAATACTATGAATACTATGAATATGCAAATATATGAAAACCGGTTGCATTCTTTTTATACTCATTCTAAAAAATCGAAATGGCCTTATAAAGAGTCCGAGGAATATAAAGCAACACCCGAATCGGTTTGTGATTAAGTGGTTAATTGAAATAATTATTAAATTTATTTTAATTTTTTATTTTATTTTATTTATTTAGCTAGCAAAGGCAGGATTCTATTTTAATCCGGTTCCAAATTCGAAAGATAATGTTGTATGTTTTCTATGTCATAAATCGATGGAAGGTTGGGATCCTCAAGACGATCCGTTCGAAGAACATGTCAATCATTCTCCAGAATGTGCTTGGGCAATTTGTTACTGCTCAATAAGAAACTTCAATGATAATCAACTACCTTTTAATTGGGACGATAGAGATAATTTACCAACTTCCAAAAAGATGGAAGAGGCTAGAATTAAAACTTTTGGCACTTGGTGGCCTCATGATGGCAAGAAAGGTTGGGTTGGTACAGTTAAAAAGGTAATAGAATTCATTCATTTTAATTTAGAAATTAATTGAATACTATCTTTTGAAAAAAAAAGAAAAAAAGCCATCAAGCATCAAGATATTTGTAACTTTATTATTTATTGATGTCTCAGTTTGGGAATTGTAGATGGCTAAAGCGGGATTTATTTACTCTCCAACAATCGGTTCTCTCGACAATGTAACTTGTCAATATTGTGGTGTAGGGTTAGAAGGATGGGAACAAAAAGATGATCCAACGTAAGAAAATAATATATTTTTATGTACTTTTAGTTATAAATATGAATTTAATTCTTTTTCTATTTAAAATTATGAAGTAAAGAACACAGTAAACGATTTCCTTTGTGTCCATTCTTCACTAAGTCACCTTCGAAACCTAAAAATACAAAAACGAAAAATTCAAAAGCAACAACAAAAGCTGGTACAACAAAAAGGACAAGAAAGCAGATTGCATCGGAAGTTATAGATGCGAAAATTAAGGAAGAAGAAATGGAACTATCAGACATGATAAATCAGCTTAAATTGAACGAACCTTCTCTCGATAGTTCTAAAAACAATGATGTGGTAAAACTAAGGATTATTTATTTAATTAATAAATATTTAGTTTCTTAATTATTGCTAAATCACGTTATTTTATTCAGAAACAGGAACAAGTAAATTCAGAAGTGATAAACAATAATTGTGCTGATGTTGATGATAATAGTGGGCACGAAATAGTAGTTCCATATACAGATACCTCCGAATCTTCGGTTCAAGTAGATCCAATTGTTACTGAGTCTGCCAAAGAAGTTGCCGAACCTTTACATGAGCAGTTGGAGGAAATACCAATGGTCGAAGATCACTACGAAAATTTGATGGAAGAGCAAAATAGAAAATCATGTGACTTTATTCAGAAACATGAACAAGTAAATTCAGAAGTGATTAATAATAATTTTGTTGATATCGATGATAATAATGATAATAGTGGACGCGAAATAGTAATTCCATATGTAAGTACATCCGTATCTTCAGTTCAAGCAGAGCCAATTGCCACTGAGTCTGCCAAGGAGATTGAACATTATGAAAATTCAATGGAGGAGCAAAATAGAGAATCACATTGTTCTATTCAAGAACACGAACAAGTAAATTCAGAATTGATTAACAATTGTGCCGATGTTGATGATAATAATAGTCGCGAAACAGTAATTCCATATACAAGTGCCCCCGTATCTTCGGTCCAAGCAGAGCCAACTACCACTGAGTCTTTCAATGAGATTACCGAATCTTTACATGTACAGTTAGAGAATACACAAATTGTTGAAGATCATTGTGAAAACTCATTGGAGGAGCAAGATAGGAAATCACATTGTTTTATTCAGAATCGTGAACAAGTAAATTCAGAATTTATTAACAATAGTTGTGCGGACGTTGATGATAATAGTAGACGCGAAACAGTAATTCCATACACAAGTGCCTTCGTATCTTCAGTTCAAGCAGAACCAATTATTACCGCATCTGCCAAGGAAATTACCGAACCTTTACATGAGCAATTAGAGGAAACACCAATGATTGAAGATCATTATGAAAGCTTTAGGGATGTTCAAAATAGAAATTCATGTTTTATTCAGAAACATGAACAAATAAATTCTGACAATAATTGTGCCGACGCCGATGATAATAGTGGTCGCGAAATTGTAATTCCATATACAAGTGCTCCCGTATCTTCGGTTCAAACAGAGCCAACTACCACCGAGTCTACCAAAGAGCTTACTGAATCTTTGTATGAGCGGTTTGGGAAACCACCAATTTTTGAATACAATTTCGAAAATTTAATGGAGGAGCAAAATAGAAAATCATATTTTTTTATTCAGAAACATGAACAAATAAATTCAGAATTGATTAACAATAATTATACCGATGTTGATGATAATAGTAGGCACATTGTAGTTCCATACACAAGTGCCCCTATATCTTTGGTTCAAGCAGAGCCAATTACCACTGAGTCTACCAAGGAGATTACCGAATCTTTATATGAGCGGTTGGAGAAGACACCAATTTTTGATTATCATTTCGAGAATCTAATGGAGCAAAATAGAAAATCATATTGTTTTATTCATAAATATGAGCAAATAAATTCAGAATTGATTAACAATAATTGTATCGATGTTGATAATAATAGTAGGCACGATATAGTAATTCCACACACAAGTGTCCCCATATCTTCGGTTCCAATTACCACTGAATCTACCAGCGAGGTTACCGGATCTTTATACGAACGGTTGGAGAAAACACCGATTGTTGAAGATCATGAAAATTTAATGGAAGATCAATTAGCAAAGACATTAACTGTTGAGAATTACCTAAAAGATTTAACAGAACAACAAGAGAGGATACTAGCAGAGAAGACTAATCAATTATTAGACGCTATCTTAGAAATTAAAAGGAGGGCAAAAAATGCAATCATGACTATACCTGTTAAATAGGGTTGGTAAAGTCCTTATGTCCGGGACTTTAGGACCCGGTCTTTAAGCCTGGTCTTTAAAGACCAAGTCCAAATTTAAGGACCTAGGGTCCTTAGGTCTTTAAAAAGTCCTAATATACAAATTTATAATAGTTTAAAATGAAATTATAATTTATTAAAAATTTCAATAAAGTTTTAAATGCATAGTTTACGATCATAATCATTTATTTAATGTATATAGTTCATATAATACTGTTATTACGCATTCTAATAGGTAAATGTCAATACGTACAGTGAAGAGGTAACGTGAACTAGCCGCAGCAAAAAAAAACGTAGCCATAAGATTCGGGACCTTAATGCGCATTGATCGAAAAAGCGAAGGTCGGGTTTGGTTTGAGGCGAAGCTCCATTGAAGAACAATAGTAAGGCGCCTCTATGGTGGGAACTAAAGTCATAGTCACGTAAATGAGTATGGATTACTCATCGATAGTCATAGATCCCCCCACGATACTCTAAATAGTCATATTGCTTAGAGATTCTCGTAGTACCAAAGCTCTCTGTAATGTATAAATAACCATCGATTTCATGTAATTGAAAACAAGTGAAGTTTTATAATAATAAAGACCATCTAATGATAAACTCCGGGGATCCTAATGGCAGTAGGATCCTTGGTTCTCTGACCAAATCTTCCACGCCTTCTTTCGAGTAGCCTTTGATTTTTGTTGTGTCTTAGGTCGCGAGTACTAGTCACTCCAAATCCGCCCTTTTACAACATATAGCGGACCTAGGCTTTAGGACTAAGTCTTGGACTGGACTTAAGTTAACTAAAGTTCTAAAACTGGTTTTATAAGGACTTGGTCCATAAGTCCATGCAGTAAAACCTAAAGATTATGAGACCAGGACTGGACTTTACTATTCCTATTGTTAAATAAGAATTTGTAATATATACAAGTCTCGTTTTGGTTTATGTTTTTATTAGCCCAAAAGGCTGTATTGCCTGCAGAGATTAAAATGTGTTGTTTAAAATAAAGTATTATTGTTTATACTGTAATATATAAACTTTAATTTGTTTAGAATATTTGTATTGTAGTTTTAAATTTATTTTTTGTTAGGTTTTTGAAAAGTATAGTATATTGATAGCTATGTATTTTATTATTATAAACCGAGATTATTGCAATATATAATATTTTTTTGTAGAATTATAGATTAATTACAAAGATTTAAAAAGTTTTATTTAAAAAACAAAAATTTTATCATTTATAAAATAATTATTTTACTTATACTATATAGTAGTTAAGAATAACCAGTATGCTATATTTCAAAAATTTAACAAGTAAATATAATCAAAGTTCTAAATAAAAATGATTGGAACTTCTAAAACCTTATAGAAATTAAGTTTGGGGCTTTATATTTAATATACAGTATATTATACAGTATTATATAAAAAAACATTTTATATAAAAATCTTCTATTCTTTGCAGAAACTTGTCAAATTAATAATGGTTTTAAAATTAGTAAATAATATTTTTAAAACATAGTTAAAATATTTTTATTGATTATAGGTTTATAACTAGTATATAATTGTTATATTACAATAATATTTTTCTAAAAAAACATTATTATAATATATATCAGATAACTATATAGTAATTATAATGTTATAATAATGTGTGTTTTTTTTTAAAAAAAATACATTATTATAACTAGTTAATAACTAGCTATTAACTTGTAATTATAATATTATAATAATGTTTTTTTTAGAAAACATTATTATAACATAACAAGCCCAATACTGGTTATAAACCTATAATCAATAAAAAATATTTCATGTTTTAAAAACATTATTAAAGCCATTATCAATTTTTTACAAGTTTCTACAAAGTATATGCTTGAAACTTTTTTTCTTGCGACACAGACCCGTTGCTGTGTAATATACCCGAGTCTTTTGTAAGTTTTTTGTTAGGTATATATTTTGTATTAGACTCCGGGTCTTTGCACTACGGTAAATCAATTTTTCTTAATTTTTTCAAACTTTAAACAAAGAAATCTCGACAACCACCAAGCCAAATTCGATAAACTTTTTTTTATTTGGATTTTATAAATTTGTATAATTCGAATAAAAAAAAGGTTATCGAATTTGGCTTGGTGGTTGACGAGATATCTTTGCTCAAATTTTGAGAAAAGTTTGGCGCAGCTTTAATTTGATATCTACCAATAGGTGCCGCACGAAAAATGCGCGGCAGATCCTCGATTTTGATTGGCTAAAAAATTAAGCCGGAATTACTCGTAATTTTACTTATGAAATCACAGCCGCCTATTAAGTGAAAATTGTTCCTGAGCCAATTTTACCACAATGCTTTTTAAAAAATTTCTATTTTTGTAATGAAAAAATTAAAAAACCAATTCCGGCCGGAATTAGTAAACAATTTTGTAATGCGGACCAAAATTTCGAAGATCACCGGCCGTTAGCCAATCAAAATCGAAGATCTGCCGCGCATTATTTGTGCGGCACCAGTGTTAATTTTTCAATTAAAATTTACTGTGCGGATGCCGCACAATTTATAGATCTTTCTGTGCGCAAATAAAAAAAGAAACGAGAAACTATTTGCAACTGTGCGCACTACTTGCAAAATGCCAATTTTTCTGTGCGGCATCCGCGCATCTATTCAAAAATTGATATATATTTATTTTTTTAATCTTTAAATCAGAAAATTAGTTTGATAATAAAAAATTTATATATAAATCTTGGTATATAGAGTTTATATATTTATTTCTAACTTTAGCCACAAAAATAATTAATAAAATGCAGTTATTAATAAACATATTACAAACCTTTAATCTATAAACTTATTTATACAACATAAATATATACATATGTATCTGCAGTATATACATACAGTATTATAAATTATACGTAACTGTTATAATTATCATAAACGCAGCAGTATTTTGATATCTTTAGGGTGCGTATACCGTTATAATGGCATATTCATCGCGAAAAAAGTGAATGACAAAATAATATCGAAATGTATCTTTTAAATATAGCGATATTTGATAGCCAAATAATTTGACTCATCGTCATAAATTTAGGGTAGTGTTACCAATGTCTCAAATAAACCTTTAAATGAAAAAACTTTTTATAATTTACGCTGATTCATATCTTAAAAAAAGAATAATAGTAGTGTTCTTTATAGTTAAAGGGGTTTCACTTTTAAAACTAAATTTTATAAGCTTTGTTAATCTTAAATACCTCCGAAATTACTGTAACATACTCTATATACTTACATATTAAGTACGGTCAACTCTCTTTATAATGAACCTTTTTATAATGGAAGAACTAAAAAATTTAAAAATTATAATAGTTCTGTATTTACTGTACTCATATTTCTGTTATATCTTCAACTCAAAAAAAAAAAAAAAGAATAGAAAACATTCGGAGTACAGAAGCACATGGTAGAAGTTTTCAATCACAAACAAATTTTAGGAACCTGTATATAATGAAATAAATCAAATGTCATCATTATTGTATCAATCATTAATTCTAATGTTGGCAAATAAATTTAAAAAACCGATTACGTGTGGGTCTTGGCATTAATTCATAGGCAGACATTCATATGATTGGCTGTTTTAGTACATTATTTATACAGTTTAAAGTACTTTTTAAAGAAACTAAAACTACTCAGAATAAACAAAAAAGAAGTATATAGAAAGTTTTATTAGGGTTGTAGAACTCCACTATTAAAAATAATCAAAATTCTTTTTTGTTTTAGAGAAGTTAGCATGGTGATACCTATCTTTAAGAAGTCGCTATTATGCTAACTTCTCTAAAACAAAAAAGAATATTGATTATTTTTAATAGTAGAGTTCTACAACCCTAATAAAACTTTTTATATACTTCTTTTTTGTTTATTCTGAGTAGTTTTATTTTTTTTAAAAAGTACTTTGAACTATATAAATAACGTAAAATTAAATTGATTTAAACAGCCAATCATAGAAATGTCTGCCTAGGAGGTATTAATGGAATC